GGCCAATGGGAAATTTGGCCAGGATGCCGGGGTTACACCCCTACTTTTTTCGAGAAACGCCCTGGGATTTTTATCATGGTAGATCCGTCAGTCTCTCTCATATACAGTATTCCATGTCGCAAGCAACGCAGAGACCGCATCGAATGTATTGTTTATGCATTAGTTGTTAAACTTTTAATATGATGTTGCGTTTGTGTTTCACGTACAACGTAGGTAAAATCACCGGTAAGATAGCACTGGTCAGATATTATGAGATCGAAGAAGAAAGCAAAGTTTTGAAGGGCCTCAACAACATAAGTAAAGTTATCATTGAGGTTTGGGGTGTAAATGTCAATGAGCCAGTAATGACTGCAATGTCTTTTAAAAGTCCGGTGCTTGCTGATTCCTCAACCGGAATAACTGCAGTGTTATTAAAGTAAAAGACCTACAGTAGTTTCCGCGGAAATAGCGAGGTGAGTTCTTTAATTAATCCAATTAATCGTCCTTAATTGTTTTGTCACATGCTGACAGCAGCCACAGTTTTAGATAGGGAGAATGTATTCTCTCTATGTAAATAGAGATAGGTCATTACAGTAATTACTACAGGCGCAGGCTCGCCGCTTCTCTCCGGTAACAATAGGTTAAGTCTTAAAGTAACAGTACAGATGTGCCTGTTAATTCACTCAACTTTGAACATAGTAGATACAATTTTTTATTGCAGACAATAATACTCCAGTATTGTCTATATTTTCATTTAAAGCCACAAACGGAGATTCCAACCAGTATTTCTTACTTTATCGACGATTAGTTGAACACCGGCATTATTTTCAATTCTTCTTCCATCGTCTATGTTAACTCTAACAGTGGTATTATTTATGCTGTGCAGTCTTTTGATTGCAAAACAAAAAATGAAAGACTGCAAAGCTGAGCTTATAGCTCGAGATGGTGGCTTTCCACCGATGAGAACTAAGGCTACTACGAAAATGTATGTCCCAGACCAAAACGACAACCCTTCTCAGATACACTATCCAGTGCACACCGGTGGCTCTCTTGTGGATGAAATGGTGCCTCGTTCAGCAGATGCTGGCTATCTTGTCACTAATGTTATAGCTGTTGATGCTGATTCTGGACAGAACGCCTGGCTCTCAATTACACAACTGAAAGCTACGGGCAGGTGGCTGATTGAAGTGCGATAACAGAACGGAGAAAGAAGAACTTTACGCCAGGATATTGATAAAGATGCTGTGAAACAGAAGCTTGTTGTTTAAACAGAGGAATAAGAGAATATTCCTGTTAATCAAGACCTTATTATCTTACTGGTTGCGCAGACGCTGGAACAACTAAAGCATTTAAGCACGTGTACAATAATGAGGTTTGTTTAACTACTGGTGCTGAGAAGTATGTCAGACCAAGTAGTCAAAGGTTCATAATGAATTACGCCCGTTTCTTGGAATTGCTGTCGCATATGTAGATGTTAAAAATAATGTTTTAGTGAATTAAATATTGTACACTCGGGATAATTTTGTACATTCAAATTAATTGTATTATATGACACTTTACGGCACTAAAAACATGAAAACCTGCTGTATTGAAAGCAAAATTATTTCAGACATCTTATTTTTATTATTTAGCTTTGGAAAATGTTTACAAATTGAATGTCTACAATATACTTTAGACTTCCATGACTAATGTTACAATAACTTAAGATCTATTTTTCACCCTTTCTTTTAATGTTCTATGAGGTTTGCAGATAGTTTTTAAAGTGTAGTGAATTAGTACTAATCTTTCTGTATTGCTGGTTTAATTTGATTGTTTTATGACATTTATATTATATATAAACCCCGACTTCTATTTATAATACAAGCTAATCGGAATTGAAATCACAATATTAAAACCATGTTCGGCATTTTCAAGTTTCTGTTGTACTTTATTTGTACTCTAAGTGCCGCTGTTGATCAATGGAGCAATATTATCGAAGCAGAAAGCCAACAGGACCTCCCATATTATTGCGCTGTACTGGAGAGACAGATACAGAAAGACGCGCAGACTCGCATTACAGCTCTGGGATGAAACAGATTCCGTCTATAACACTCTCCAACATTTTCATGCATTTATTCTATTATTGTATCATTTCGGAGTGATGGGTAAAACCATTGAAGACTGAATTGAAATCGATCGGGGTGAAGAGTTTGGAAACGATGGGATTAACTCGATCTGCACTAGCGGAAAGAAAAGATTGCAGGACCTTAAAATGGCAAGTACTGCTGTTGATTGTGTGTTTGTGCAAATCCGTGGTAGTTACTGGACAGATTCGGTACTCGATTCCAGAAGAATTGAAGAAAGGCTCGTTAGTAGGGAATATCGCACAAGACCTGGGAATAGATCTGAACAGACTGAGAGCCGGCCGGGCTCGCATTGTGACTGAAGACAGCACTCAATATATCGAGCTAAAGACAGACAAAGGGCTTTTGGTTGTTAAAGAAAGGATAGACCGAGAGCAACTTTGCGGTGTAATATCTCCATGCAGCTTTAGTTTTGAGGTGATTCTGGAGAACCCAATGGAGCTGCATCGTGTAACAGTTGAAATTTTGGATATTAATGATAATGCTCCAAAATTTCCAAAAAATGAAATAAAATTAGAAATAAGCGAATCAGCTGCTCCGGGAGCGCGTTTCTTATTGGGAAGCGCGCAGGACCCAGATGTAGGAATTAACACTCTTCAGAATTATATTTTAACTCCTCTTGATATTTTCGTTTTGAAGCAACATGCGCGTCCGAATGGTGGAAAATATGCAGAAATGGTGCTTCAGAAGCCTTTGGACAGGGAAAAGCAGGATAGGCTCTCTTTAACATTAACTGCTGTGGATGGTGGAAATCCGCAAAGGTCTGGCACTGTTAATATAGATGTCATTGTTCTAGATGCAAACGACAATGCCCCTGTCTTTAATCAGTCAGTGTACAAAGCTACTGTCTTAGAAAATGCATCAAAAAATACCTTCATCACCACTATTAACGCAAGTGACGCAGATACCGGTTCAAACGGACATGTAACTTATTCGTTTTCAGACCTCGAGGGTAATGTAAGAGACATATTTAATTTAGATGAAAACACTGGTGCGATTTACTTAGTTGGTCAGATAGATTTTGAAAAAGAAAAGAAATACGAGATTAATGTAGAAGCAAAAGACCACGGCGGTCTTGCGGATTCAAGTAAAGTTGTAGTGGAGGTAATTGATGTCAATGATAATGCTCCAGTTATAACTGTCATGTCCTTCTCTAGTCCGGTGTCCGAGGACTCAGCACCTGGAACTACAGTGGCTATAATCAACGTAAAAGATTTAGATTCTGGCGAAAACGGCCGGGTCAGTTGTTCCATTAATCGCAATCTTCCTTTTAAAATAATATCATCTTTGACTAACTATTACACCTTGGTAACTGATGCAGTTTTAGACCGGGAAACGACTTCCGAATATAATATAACAGTAATTGCCACAGACTCAGGATCTCCATCTCTTACGACCAGTAAAATCTTAACTCTGAAAGTCTCAGATGTGAATGACAATGCTCCTGTATTTGAACAGTCTGCATATACTGCTTATGTAGCTGAAAACAACTCTCCAGGTTTGTCTGTATTTTCTGTTAAAGCTAAAGA